ATGCGGGCGGTGATGGATGCCACACGCACACGCACACACACACACACACACACCCACCATCACCACTACACCACCATCACCACCATCACCACCATCACCACCATCACCACCATCACCACCATCACCACCGTCACCACCGTCACCACCATCACCATCACCATCACCATCACCTCCTACTACTGCTAATTACTGCTACTACTACTACTGCTACTACTACTACTACCACCACCACCACCTCTACTGCCACAGCCGCCGCCACAGCTACCGCCACGGCCACGGCCACCTGGGCCACCGCCACCGCCACCGTCAGCAGCACCACTGGTACCAGTACTACCTACTACCATATCTACTGCCCACTACCTACTATGTACGAAGTACTACGTTCTGTTTACTACGCACTGCGTACCATGTAGAGCCAGTACTTATTCTTTTGCACATGCTGAACTACGATGCTGAAATATGAGAGCATGGTCATCCTTCCCTCCATCTTCTACCATTAAAGACTGAATATTACTACATCGTACCGCCACCATACATTTCCCTTCCAAAAGCATCGCCAGTGCAATCTAACCACACACTTCTACCCTGTGGGCCGGGCTTGTTGGGCAGGTTTCGCATCATGACGGTTGTGACATGCAGCCAGTCCTTGGCTTGGCAGACTGGAACAAACGGCACCTGATAGCACCTGCCAAAATCTCATGGTGGATAGGACAGTCCTAGTAGCTTGGGCTGCGAAATTGAGCATACCCTCATGTAATCAGACCTTCAACATACTTCAACCAAAGGATAGTCTAAGCTCCTAATATCCCCCCCAACTAACCCCTATAATGCTCCCCTATATAATCGCCTATATATCCCCCTTTAAGAAGTTTAGACCAAAATGCTCATCATCTGAGGACAAAGCAGGAGGAATTCCTACCTCAGCATCGCCTGCCCAGGCCAGGCTCATCTGTTCAGCTAAGCCGTGGGGTACCCTTTGGAACTATATAGGGATAATGGAAAAGAAAATGGAAACTAGTTATTATAATAGGGAATATATAGGGGTTATATAGGGATAATGGAAAGTAAAAATGGAAACTACTATAACTATATAGTATATGAGGGTGATAAGTGACCACAGGCTCCGCTGGCTCTGTGTTCCCCCCTTGACTAGGCAGGTTGTTTGCGAATCGGGAGTGTTATTTAATTGTCTGACATTTGCGAACCCTAAACCCTTATGACTGGGAGTTTCCCTTCCTGGCCCCTCAAAGCTTCTGGGAGACAGCCTTTAGCTCGCCATGCAGCAGGTTCGATCACCTTAGGCTGCAGGTGTCAAAGTTCCAAAGAAAGACATCGTCTTTTGAGTGGCCAGATGATGATTAACGCATGTTGGGGTCTCCATTGGTTCCATGGCTCACAGCACGCGATCTTATTAAGAACCCCATCTTCTTTGTACAAGTGGGAGGCTAGAGACCCTTGGTGAAATGGATCTCTGTGTCTGAAACCGGCACACGAGAGCAAGTCTACGTAAGTGACGGGAGGAGCGACTTCGACGACAAGCAGCCCTCTCATGAAGGAAAGTCGCAAAAGAACACAACCCCTGCTTCTCATCAAGTAACCTCAAGCAGGTGAAGAAGAAAGATGTTAGAGATGCACCATGGTAGTTGCGGGAGGAACGAGCACAGACATCACTTCTTGGAAGGCATCACCGCTCTCATCAAGCCACGCCTTGGACTGTTAGGGCGACTCTAGAAGTAAGTCAGAACGTCTCACAGCCCTGGACTGATGGGGCAACTCAAACTCAAAATCAAAACTCCTGGCGCCCTTGCACCATTTTAGCGGACCCGAGCAGAGCATATTGAAAACCACCCCTCGAATAGCCAAAATCAGCACAAAATAACCATAAAAGGAATTTCAATAGCAAAACACTTACCGTCCGGAAGAGAAGAAAGCGCAGCATGTTCAAAAACCCTTCACCCCTCACCCCGGAGAAACTAACACAACATGTAGGACTAAGGAAGAAAAGCACGTCAGAATATATCCTGGCAGACTGACGCGACAACAACTGAGCTTCTCACCCCTGCTAGATCCACGTCGTCTACTTCTGCCTCCCTTTCCTCCATCATCTTGACGCGCATGGGCTCCGGACTTACCTGCACAAATCCGCAAATGACGTATCTGGGCAGCTGCTTCCCAGACAGACCTCCTGCTTGCTGGAGTCGCCTGCCAACAGGCTCCTCTGCCTGGAACAGCGCACGGTGCTGCATGAAAGAACTTGTTGAAATTTGAAATCCAGTGCACGCCATGTCATGCTTTCGTGGCGAGCCTCCCCAGGCCATGTGCGGGACCTGCAGCAACATATTGAAAGGAGCTTGGTGCACGGGACTGCTGCAGCTGCAATCGGTGATAAAGCCTGACAACAGGTCCTCCGCATACACCAGGGAGGGCAGCAGCTCGTCCTATCAGCTAAGCCACAAATGAAAGGGCACGTTCTGCCATCGAGATCCAGCACCTTCGTGTCCAACGCCAGAGCGTCCTTATCGATCTTCAAAGGAAGATCCGCAGAGATGAGCCTACCAAAAGCGTGACAACAGCTGTACAGAACCGTCCCACACTACATCCGTGATTCAACCACACACGCACGCCTAAACTGTCGCACCGTCTCCGTCTCGGCAAAGCCAGCTGCCTGTCAAAGATGCGCCATGCGCAAACCTTACGAAAACTCCTTGAGAACTTGCACTTCTGCAGCTACGCTGTGACTGCGCGAGTACGGAGGAGGAGCAACGAAAGCCTCGCCATGTCCGTCCATGGCATTCGACTACGACTCAAGACTGGTCGTTTCAGCTGGGGCTCTGAAAAACCCCCGAAACCCTTGTGGCGTCACTGAGAAACCATATGCATCGGATACACGGGCTCGCAGAGTTCAATGGCAAGGCGGGACGTGCCCTACATGGTGTGTCAAGACTATGCCTAGCAACAATGCAGCGGCTAGTCATGTCCAGTCGCTTGTTTTTCTTTATACGCAATGGCTGGGCCAATGGAAAAACAGCCAAAGATGCGACATAATCAGGGCACCATGCAGTTCAAGGCCGAGCAACATCAAGCTCACAAACCCTAGGTGCAACCACAAAAACTGGAGCTACAGTATTCCTTCTCTCCCTTCCCTTTTGAATGATGCTGGGAGCTCCTCGCGGGCACGACACGCTACAGCATGCTTTGCAAGGCTGACACGTGAATGAAACCTTTGTAATGGGAGATCTTGAAAATTAACAACTTTGCAGAAACCTGTTGTTCTTCTTCCATTACTATAAACAAGAAGTTCTGATCTCTCCGAAGAGCAACTTCCTTGGAGGGTCACCAAGCGTCACTTCCGCATGATGTGCCCCATATGTACCTTCCATGTAGCAGCGTAGCGTAAAGTTGACATTCGCCCTGCTCTCTGACGGCTTGTCAGAGGCATACTTACCCTTCCCTGACTGAGGTGAGTGCACGTGCTTCGTTGAAGGCCGTCTGGTCATTCTTGGGGAAACCACGCCATTGCTCTGAGGCCTCATCCATTGCCATGCACAATGATGCTTCAGTGCAACATGCTCCGGAGAAAAAAAAGCCTGCTGTGCCAGAACGCCCTTTCGAAGCTGCTCATTGTACGCGAATGAGCCTTGGCCCGGTCATGGCAAGGAATGGACAGCGGTGCCCCGCCAGCTGCATCGCCATCTCCCTTTGGTGCCGAACCGTGCATCTCCGAAGGAGTCTGAGTCAAGTGGGCTGGCGGCACCTCAAATGGCGACCAGGGCACGGCTTGAAACTGTGAGCACTGTCAGCCCAAATATAAAAAACCCAAATATAACCCAAATATAACCCCAATATAAGCCCAAATCTAACCCTAAATATAAATCCAAATAGAACCCCCATAGGTAGCACTGTCAGCATTGTCGCTTGGGAGCTTATTATTTACTATATATACCCATTATGATAACCCTAAACCCTAAACCCTAGACACATTATGGTAACTTAATCTAAGTCCCTTAACAGCAACCCGGGCTTCTTGGGAGCCCTGCAGGCAGCGGGCCGATGGTGCACTCCCTGGTGTAGTTTTGGATTCCCTCCCCTCGAGTCGGGAGGGGCCTCAAACCACACCATGGGGTGGTTGTCAAAATTCTGGTCCCCTTTTGGGTACCCTATTGACCATAGTTCTGACAACCACCCACATGCAACGGATCTGCAATCATCGCATGGGAGACACGGTCGACAAAAAGGATGCAAAGCTCAGAGCTTGACTGTTGCAAAAGGTTGCCCACATGGTCTCGCAGCGAAAACGGCGCCAGCAAGTCCTAGATGGGATTAAGCCTGCTTCCTCAGCTGCCTTGCACCCCCTGTCTGTACTATTGAAACCAAAACTGGGCTTTGCAGGAGCCCTGGTCCCACATGTCATCCAAGTTCGAGCAGCCGGTGACAGGACGACCTGTCCGTGCAGATGTTGCTGGGAGATGCTTGAATGCGTGCCTCGCAGCATTTCTCTTTGTTGGTGGTTGACAAGTTGAACCTAGTAAGATTATGCTCCTGACAAAAAAATACTATACCCCAGAAGGAAGACATAATCTTGCGCTATGTTGGGAAATACAGGATCCCCAAATAAAACACTACTCAGATCGAGTCTGAGCCCTGCGCTTCCCGTCACAGGCCTGCCTTTGCCAGGCGTCCAAGGTTTAGAATCAGACAGATTGGCTGGACAAAAACTGGATGACTTGGTTCTTTGCTGGTAGCGCTGGTGACTGCAGCTGCCTTGCGCACAGGAAGCAGTGTGATGAAAAATGATTTGCTCCGAATGTGCGATTCAAACCCCTGCCTCACCGGCAGGTGTGTTCAATCCAGTCCTCCTGCATGTGACGCTCGTAGAGCAAACAGCTTGTTCGTGCTTGTTCTTGCACTGGGCTGCGTGCAGCGAGTTCTCAGCTGCAAGTTTTGCCTGAAGTCAGCTTCAGTTCCTAAGAGCTCTTGCCACTTCTGCAGCTACACCTTTAAGGCCGAGGCCGACCTGCTGCGCTGGGGACGGAAAGTCCCAGCAAAGAGCGTGGACTGCCAAGGCCGCAGAAGTCTTTTTGAAGGTTTAGGATTTAAAGGTTTGTATAGGGATAATGGAAAGAGAATGGAAGCTACAGGGATTATAGGGATTATCTGGGGTTTAGGATTTAGGATCTAGGGTTTAGGGTTAAGGGACATGCCTTCTTCTGGCCGAAGGGATCAGACCGGTCCTTGGAGCTCTGCCAGCTTTAGCATACTGAAAGAGGCTGGCGCTCTCCTCTTAGCGTCTGGCAAAGCCAGGAGGCAGGGCACCAAACTGTTCCATATGCTCAGGCTATTCCCTTCCTGCCTCCGCTTCGAACGGTGGTCACTACCCACCGCGCTGCATTTGTTGTTTAAGCTGCGGCTTAATCTTCATGGAAGAGTTTGTGATGGCTGCATGGAAGAGTTGGAGGTGCTTGTTTCTTGGATCTCAGCTACATGTAAGCACTGTGCAGCTGGGAATCGACTATGCTCCGCAGCAGCAAACCACAGGGGTGTTCGAACTCAAAATGGAGAGCATGGTGGCATTCAAACTCTTTTGCTGATGGCCAAGGTCACCATAATCGTTGGGTGAAACATGGATAAACATGCTCGCTGCTGAACCTTGGGCAGCATGCGAGCTGGAGAGACGTTTCAGACCTGGCGTGACACAAAAAGTGAGAGCTGGAGAAGCTAAATCCTCAACCGTCGCAACATGCCAGAACGACCGAGCGGCTCTCCTCGAGTGACACGGCCTCGCTGCACAAACGGTGGATACCAGCAAAATCGAGGCTGATGGCATAGCATGGCATAGCAGTCCTCCGGCCGCGAGAAGAACTCTCGAACCCCGCGTTCATTCATGATTTCACTCCTGGGATGCAACATGTGCAAACAACACGCGTTCCCAAAGCTGTCGCTCAGCTTCAAGAAGCTAAGGGCCCCGCGACAAGGTGTGGGCAACCTGGCTTGAAAACTCCCAGCGGGCGTTCAAAGGCTGAGGACTCCAGGACCCTTGCCATATCGCCCGTGCGATTGATCCGCGCTCTGTCGGTCAAGTGCTTCCACCTACAAAGCGCTAGCGGGATGGTTTCTGCTGTACAACATCAGAATGCTATTCTGCTCCACCCCCTCCCCGACTCTCTCACGACTCCAAAGCCACTTCATGGAGCCCGTGGCAGCACGTCGGGCCTTGGCATCTTGAAGGAAGCGGCTGCCTAGCAGATCAAGTTGCAAGTTGCCCAGCCAAAACATTCAATCCAAATCAATCCAAGTCCAGAGCTGAAGCCCAAGAGGAAGCTTCATGTGATCTCCCGTAACCTCCTCCATGGCCCCACCTTGCAAAAATGAGACTTCTCCTCTTCCAGGGCAGTATGATGCCCTTCTCAACAAGTCAGGCTGCGACGGACCACCACCTCCAAAGACAGGCGGCGGCTCAGAAATTACTGTAGTATAGTGGGGTTATATTGGGGGCTATATTGGAAAAATGGAAAAGACAATGGAAACTACCATAGCATATTAGGGCTGTATTGGGGGCTATATTGGGATATTTTGCAATTGTGCACCCCTAAACGCCTAAGCCCTAAACCCTAAACCCAGGAACAGCACTAAGCTCGGTGCTGAAATTTGCTGCACCTCTCTTCTCAAGATTCGCCTGATGCCAAGCGCCCCCCGAAAGCATCCCAGGAGCCACCATTACTGTGTAGTATTTTGGGTATATATGGGGTTTAGGGTTTGGGGTTTAGGGTTTAGGGGATAATGGGAAAGGAAATGGAAACTGTTATGATATTGAAATCATATCATCGGGGTTATATAGGGTAATATTGGGCACCATTACTATGTAGTACTTTGGGGATATATGGTAGTTTCCCAAAATTAGGGTACCCCAAAATAATAGACCCCAATGTATTCTGTTCCTAAGTATAAGGACACCCGAAATGGTACCCCTAATTTTGGGAAGCCCCCATGGAAAGAAAATGGAAAGTACTATATAGTATCAAGGCCTGCCAAGGCTCGGGATGTTGCTGGTAGGCTCGAGGCATTTGCCTGCTGCTTTTTTGAACACATTCTTATCATCTCCTGAAGAAAAAACCTTGCCATAAGCTGCTATGGCCATCCGAGGCTAGGTCAGCCGTGTCCACTCTTGATTGCGGATGTAGTCATCGTACCGGACAACCTGCGAAGGCGAAGGCAGCACGAGGCGTGTTCTGAACGCATTCATGAGCTGATGCAGTGGGAAACGGATTGAGGGCTGCTAAGCGCAGGGGCCTCCTCTCCCATGTGAGGAGGGAGTCCGATGTATTGATGACAGATGATGACCTTGCCGATGAAGCTGCAACACGTGCAGCTTCCAACGCTTGGAGACTGAGTTTGAGGCCCCTGTATTGCCTTCTGGCACAGGTACTCGGGAGAACTGCACGTTCCTTGACCAAACATGGGATGCAAACCGTCTCTGGCAGTGGTGCCAGTTGGCATCCCGTGGCCTCTCTTGCATTGAGTAATGATAGCTGCTCAAGCTGCTCCCAGGCGATCTCTGGGCCAATGCATCTGCCTGCCCAAGCAGCAAACTGCAAGCAAACCGCTTGAAACATTGTCGCATCCAAGAGGCCCTGGAGTTAGCGAGGGCGTACATCGCTCACCTGTAGCCTTTCGAGGAGCCAGGGGACATGACATTGCCAAACTCAAGAGCGGTCCACAACTCTAATTACCTACTGCCTACCCTGCTGACTGCAAACGCGGAAGGCAGTGAATGAAAGTTGCAGCTCAATCATACAGCAACCTGCACACTTCCAAAACTTCACCATGTCGTGATTGCACGCTCTTATCGTGACGCCTGTGAAGCTGGAAGCCCCTGGGGACACAAGCAGCTACAGGGCGAGGAGCTAGCCGCTAGAGCCCGCAGCTCGGCACAAGTTACTTCAAACTGCTATGCCTGCGACACACTGATGATAAAAATTCAGGGCTGCAGGGCGTGCATTTTCAAGTCTGATGGCGCCATGAGACTTGTCGTCAGGCAACCCTTGTCAGCTGCAGGAAATATCAGAAACACGACATCAAGTGCTCAAGCAACTTTGGCTTGGCGATTTCTCCAGTGTCAGCGGGCACGACGCTGCAGCAGAATCCCGTGCTTGTTGGCATTTCGCAGGATCTTAGCTCTGGCGTTGCAAACCCTAAAACTGGATAATTGGCCGTTACTAGTACTATCACTGTTATTATTACCATTATTCGTGCCATTATTATGACCACTAGTTTTACCCTTATTATTGCCATTGTTATTTCCATGATCATTACCATGATAATTACCATTAGTTTTACCATTATTACCATCATTTTTTACCCTTAGTATCACATCTTCAGTACCATCATTATTACACTTAGCATTACAATTACTATTACTATTATAATTACCGTTACTATAGACCGGGAAGCCCTTGCCTCAGGGCCAGACAGTGTCCAGTGAAATGCAAATGGTCCCTGAAGTCTTCGTCACCATTTTGGAACGCACCTGGAGCAATAAATTCCACGTTCTTCTTTCGGCCGGCAGCTAGGACATGGATGAGCCCTTTAAAACTCTGATAAGCAGCTCCACAGTTCCCTTTTGTTTCTTTAAGCAGACCTGCAATCTCCACTCCTTTTATTAAGATCCCCCGACCCACCCCCCTAATATTCAATCTTCCCAATATTTCCATATATATACATATCATAATACGCCAATATGGAAATATTTAATGGACTCAGCCATCTCAAGCCCAAGGTGCTTCTGGGGCTTTGTCCTTGAGGATGTCCGCGCGGGGCGCAGGCAATGCGCCCGGGTCGCTCCCGAGCACTCCTGTCACTGCTTTGGCCTGGACGGAAGTGAATGGAAAATACAATGGAATGGAGAATCAAATGGAACATCTAACGGAAAAAACAGATGAAACCTGAAATGGAAACTGTGGTTGCTTAGGCGTGTCCTTGTGGTTGAACTTGTACTTCGAAAGCCTCTTGAACATCCAATCTCTGACGCAGAAGCACCTAAAGTTTTAACTGAAGCATTTGGTTCAACTTCCAAACCAGCAACCTTTTCTCTGCACTGCAGGAACTGAGCATGCAAGCTCTCGCACAATCAGGCACGCCTACGTGGTTCATCTAGGTAAACATGACTGGAAGGTGTCCATCCAGACAACATTCTAGTTAGAGTAGGCTGCTCCAATTTCCTCAGCAGCGGGAAAATTCAATTGGGAGCGCTTAGATGTAAGAATATCTAAGGACCCCACAATAGGCCAAGTTTGAGGTGCATCAGTTTTTGATTAAGGTTTCAGGTCACTTTGAAAGTCAGCTCGCAGGTTCCCCCAGATCCACCCCCGGGCCCTCCTCACCCGCCACAACCCACCCCCACAACCTGGGTTGCTGTTAAGGAACTTAAATTAGGTTGCTATAATATGGATATATAGAAAATAGGGTTTCCTGACCCTAAACCCTAAACCCTAAAAGTAACTTAACATCAGTTCCTTAACATCAACCCCACGTCCCCAGGTTGCCCCTCCCCACCTGACTGTCGAGGCGGCACGCGCGCTAGCGCTCGAGATATATCTATTCACAAGGATCGCGAAGATAGAAAGTTTCTCCAAATCATATCCCTAGAGTTGGAGAAGATAATGCGTTAAAAGATGTCACGAAGAAGGACTTCAGAAACTAGAAAACTCACAGAACGAAGAATGCATCACAAATCAAACTCCTTTGTTAGTTAATGATTCTCCCGGATGAATTGACCCTTGCTTTTTATGAAGGACCATGTACTCGGCCCTGATTTGAATACACGAATCCCGTGCACCTCAGGATGCAACTTCCAGAAACGGACAGAAGCCGAGCGGGAAAACGTGCCAGCCTCCTCCATGATGGAGCTCTTGAGCGGCCTCCACGTGCGGCAGGTAAGTTCCGCATGGCCCGGCATGCTCGGTAGAGCACTAGAACCATAGGCGATGGTCCTCATCTTCGAACCCTGAACAACCCAGATGATGCACAATGCAACTGCCTGAGCTGCAGCTTGGTATCTCAACTCGACCCGCTGCATCCAGCTTGAAGACTTGCACATGCAGCTGAGGCCAACCAGCCAGCGAATCAGCTATGAAGTGGAAATCCAGCGGATGGTTAAAAACATACCTGCAGCTGGTCCAAGCACAGGGCAAGGATCGGAAATCACTTCGGGCAAGAAAACCCAGATTACTTGGCACGAGAAAAAAGAAATCACTTGTGAGTGCGAAAAGGTTCTTACGATTCACGCCATAGGCTTGTTTTTTGGTTAAGGGATCTTGGGGGCTTATTAGGGCGAAAGGGGTCCTTAGGGTTTAGGCGCGGAAGCGTCTTTCTAAGGTCACGGGTTGGGGGGTCTTTATTTGAGGTTTAAGGCTTCAAGATGTTGATATGGTCCATGTTTAAATTTCAGGGTTTGCGGTTCTTACGGTGTTTCAGGGGTCTAAGGTTTCTTGGCTTAGGGTGTTTAGTGTTTAGAGTTTAGGGGTCTTAGGGTGCTCAGGATTTGGGAGTTTTTTAAGGCGGAGAGATGTTTAGGTTTTAGGGCTTTTAGTGTTTAGGGTGCTCAAGGTTTAGGCCTTTTAGGGTTTAGGGTTTTCATGGCTCAGGGATGTCAGCGTTTAGGAGTTTAGGGTTTGTAGGTGGTTTGCGGGTTTAGGGTGTTTAGGGTTGCGGGTTTTAGGTTTTAGGGTGTTTAGGCCTTGAATTTTGTTCGGGTTTAGGGTTTTTAGGGCTTAGGGCTTTTTATGGTTTGGATCGGTCTCATTTACTTCATGGCAGAACCACCCACCAACAAATACATGGCAAGCATCATAAGCCTTCACAGCTAATTCGGCCACGTGACACCAAAAAATTACTTAGGACGAGATTAACATGAAACTTCAAATTCAGGAAGCAAAAAAGGGCGAGATTGGGAAGCCACGACAGCAGGGGTCCCAGAGCCGCTTGGCTGACCCCTGCCACGGTTTTTCCTTTCGAGCCTCCGATACGCCAGAACGAATCTCATCCTAATACCTGACATAGCCAACAGCTGCAAGGGAAACTTCCCGGTGTGCCGGTGCAGAACCACGATGGTCTTTGCAAAAGCAACAAAAAATGGCCAAAGCGTTGCACCTCATAAGAGCTCCGTAACACCTGTGATCCCTGCCAAAGACACTGCTACCGTGCCTAGAAGCCCTTTCTCCGCTGAAGAATCCTGTTTCTGTTTTGTAGCTTCTTCACTGCAAGATATGGGCCAGACTGATCAACCAAATGGCCCAATTGCAATGCCCAGCTGCACGCCCTCCGCGTCAGCGTAGGTTGTCTGCGTTTGACCAACAAAGCCCTCTTTTCTCGCGATCGGCAGCCAGTCGCTTCCAGCTTCCGCAGCATAGTCTATGAAAAGCCCATCATCTGAAGAAAGTCCTACCCAGCTTCCCGCACGACACTGCATCATCACTGGATGAGCTGACAGCATGCAACATAACTGTGAATCTGCCCCATGTCCATGGCCAGGGTCCTGGAAACTCCCAACCAAACCTTTCAGCACTGGGCCATCACTTTTGACTACGTATTTATGGGCTCCATGCTGCTGTGGTTATGGCTGAATCATCCAAGAGGCTCCAGCTCACCTATGAAGTGCAGCTCGAACTCTTCACCAGGCGGACACGGTGGAGCAGGCGAAAGCGCGGGAGCAGTTGGCGGCTGCACGGCCATGTAGCGTCAATCAGTGCACTGCTCGCTTGGCTCCAAATGCTCCAGCCTTAGTGCAGCTGCTTTTGTGTGCGCAGGTGTGCTGTTTGCCTTTGAGGCTTTCTTTCCAGCCCAACTGTCCAACAGGTTGGGAATTGCTCGGAATTGTGGCTGCGAAGCAGCATCTGCAAAAGAGCATCACAATCACCTTGTTGTTTTCCGCGGTATCAACTGCTCAGAAAGCAATCGCCAGCATTTTGGCCTTGGCCACACCTCTCTGTGCATGGCAGACTGGAAAACAGGCACGACGGACTAGAGGTGAGGGGAATGTTTAGGAAGTAGTGCTGCCTGTCCGTCGAGAAGGGACCCAGAGGTGCTTTCTGTCTAACCTGTGACTGTTTTGCGCGCTCCGTGCTTGCGCGTATGCGCAAGACAAAACGCGACAGCGAATTCAAAGATTTGGTTTGTACATTGGCTGGTGAAGGCGTCATGCCCTGCACTCACCCTTGATGCGCCTGGATTCACAAATCAATCAAAAGTCATGCAGCACACCACACAACAGCTGGTCCAGCAAAGCATGTCACAACTCACGACATCGCCTGCTGGCCCGGCTGGCCCTGCTGGCCCTGGGCAGCATTTGATGCAGCTGCAGCAGCTTGCGTTGCAATCCTTACAAGCAAATGCGCAGGGCGCTGCTTCGGGAAGTTTCACGGGAAGCTATTGCTGGGAATCTGGCGAGCCAGCAGTGTGCGACGCCTTCATGAGGGTCCTTGAAAGGTCTGCGCAGATGTCTGGGCGCATCTTTGGGCACTTGCAGAATGCCGAAACCCTAGGAAGCCCCTTAACTGCTATATAGTATATTGGGGTTATATAGGGGTTATTTAGGGATCATGGAAAAGAAAATGGAAACTACTATACTATAGTATATTATATGGGGATAATATAGGGGTTATATAGGGTTATATTGGGGTTATCTAGGGATCATGGAAAAGAAAATGGAAACTACTATTGCAGCTCGCTCTAGGCGGATGGCTGCATGGCATCCTGAGGAGTGAGACCTCGAGCATTGCAGGCGCCACATGAGCTATAGTCTAAACTCCTTAAAGGAGGGTTATATAGGGGATTATATAGGGGACCACTATAGGGCTTATTAAGGTGGATACTAGGAGTTTAGACAGTAGCTCACATGACTTGACTCATCATGCGAAATACTCCCGGTAGCAGATGATGGTACTATATTGGGTGGATTCTTCTATTAAATATTCACGAAAGATTATAGGATACCCCAATGAGAAGATTCATACAGCTTCAGGCTGAGACGTGCCAGGGCAACCTGGATCGCCTGCAGGTCCTGGCAATCTTGCCCCCTTCTACAAGCATGACATTTGCCTTCCTATATTGGCCATAGTCTAAACTCCTAATGTCCCCCTCAATGTCACCTATAATACTCTTCTATATAATCCACCTTTTTCGGCCCCCTGCCGCAGTTTAGATGATGGCTCATATAGGTCTGATGTCCTTCCACCGTTGGACGCTCCATTTCTGCACATCTTCCCAGACGTAGGAGAGGACCTGCATGGTACCATCATGAAGCACCCAGCTCGCTCTATATATATATATATATGTATTATCCCATTAGTCGCCAGCCTTGACGTTATAGAGCTCCACCTAAGGCACCGCGTGGATTTGGAAGTGAAGAAAAGAGCAGCAGCTGTTTGGCGCTTCATGGGCTTGGCCAGGAACGGATTCTCGTTGAGCGTGCTTGTTGGCATCGAAGTAGATTGCTCCCCCCTGGAGTAGCTCACAACTCTTGCTCGGAGCATGGGGGTATAAGTACAACAAGTCAGGACTGCCACAACCACATAGAGCAAGATGTGGTGAGCCTGCACTACAGGTCTGTGGCAGAACATAGCTGCAGCTCCTACAGATATCACATCAAGAACCAGGACACCGACCAGAAGAAAGTAGCCGCCGGTGCCAACCACTGGCGAAGCCAATAGCTTCAGCGTACCACCTTCAACCTCCAAGTGCTAAGAATAATAGTACTGTAGTAATCATAATACTAATAACAATAGTAACAGTCGTAATAGTTTTAATCGTAAAAGGAGTCTCCTCCCTTCATCCAGAATAGATGCCAAATTCAGAAGCCCTTGCTGGCGGAGCTCGGCTTTTTCTCTCTTGCAGTTTCTGGCTCTCGGATTGAAATCGACAGCTTGCTGTGCTACCGCCAAATTTACAGGAAACAACTATCACAGAGTAGCAGAAGCAAACTCAGTACACAAGCTTCATCAAAGTCACCGGATGACACTTGCATATGACATTACATGAATAGGAGAAATGTCCCACTGCTCTGGGCGATATGTACCATTGATGGGCAAGGCTCAACATGACTCCATTCAGAGTCACATGTTGATAAACAATCAAGCAGGGCAGTTCAGTGTCAGCTTTGGAAATTCTCGGCGGCGGTTCCTCCAATCTCAATGCCACAGAGCCACTCTGCCGAAAACACTGAACAGCCTCATCCCAGGAACAAGGCTGGTGTTTCAAGCTCGCTCTTGGCCAACCGTGCAATGCCTCCGCCATGCGCGCACACTGCGTGGCAGCCGCACTTTGCATGGATGGGAGCTGCAGCAGGCACTGTCATGCCAGTGGTCAGATGCAAACGTGCCACCGCGCCATCTTGCGAGGCAAGAAGGAGCTCGGCCCCCGTGGGTGCAAAGGCCAAAGAGGCAGCAACAGCTCTAGTGCGGACTTCACCGGATGGCAACCAGGAGTCGTCAGCTTCCCCAGTGTGACCAAAGAAGGTGACTGCAGACTCTCCGGGGAAGGCGACTGCCGCACGGAGGGCCACACCCTGCCTGGAGACTGCCAAGGCTCCACGGAAGTGAGCATCCCCATGAATCGGCAGTGGCGCAACATTGGATTGGTGACAGTGCCAAATGCCTTGTGCAGGCTCATCGGGACAATTGAAGAGTGCACCAGTGGAAGCAACAAGCAGGAGGCCATGATCATCCCAGTGTCCAGCAATCAACGGCCCCTGTCCATGCGCGCCATGGAGGGCAAAGTCCTTCATCTGGCTGGCCTCGCCATTCAGGACTGGGATAATGGAACCGCGGCCATGGTGTGAGAGAGCCATCATCTTAGGTGCAGTCGCATGACCACAAAGTAGTTTGGGCTGCATCATCGCTGGCCACTGAAGGGTCGACCTGCTTGGCTGAACAGCCGGCATCATGGACACGTCCACCATGGATGAGGTAGGGCTTGGAGCGCTCGCCTGCTTGCCCTGAGCAAGGTCAGCCAAATGAGGCAGCACATTTCGGATCTTGGCCACAAGTTCATCACGAGGCACAGAGGCGAGAACGTCGAGCGCTGAAAGTCGGCGAGCATGGTCTTTGATGCCCACAGCTGGACCATGATGCGCTCCACCCGTTCCAACCTCTGTTGGTTCGGAATAGCCAAGTTTTGGCGGACGATATCGCGGATCACGCAAGTTGTTTGGCAGGCCAAATGCATTCAGCATCGAGGGATGGTCAGTGTGTGCATTTGCAAGCTCTATTGTGAAGCCGATGACCAAGTAGACCCAGGCAATCAACAATCCCAATAGACCGGTGCGAACATTGAACCACGCAGGGGACTCTCCCTGCTTCCCTAGAGCGCGGTGCACATCACGTCGCTTTGCCTCAGCAGCGTCGTAAGTCAAACGTCCCGGCTGTCCAGTGGTCTGTGTGCCGCCCTCCGAGGCCTTTCGCATCTCGCCCACTAGGTCATTCTGGCCAGGTTCAAGGTGGCGAGGAGGAGCCACCAACCATACCGCATGCTTGAACGCCTTGGGAAGCCGCCACTGGCCAGGCCACCAGGTTCCTGCAGGTACTTCAGCTTGGTCAGGAGCGGAGAAGTCCGGTGCACAGATCCGAAGCAGCTGAATGGTATAGATCTCAGGAAGAGCGAAGCTTTACATGCTAAAAAGATCTACAAAAGTCTTAACAATCTCTGCTCGCGGGGCAGCTAAGCTCCCAACGATGTGGAAAGCGTAGGTAATGTAAACCAGCGCGTAACCAATGCCCGCGGTCCCCTCGTCGTAGTAGGTCTGGTACTCAATGCCAAGCGCCACCCATGCAACGATCTGAGCAAGAGGGCCCAAGCGCTGCAATGGAAAGTCCACCTGCCCAGGCATGATGTCAAGCGTCAGGAGGATGTTCTGCAGGACACTTGTGGAGATGCACACCAAGCCAGCTGCAAACACAGCCCTGTTCTCTGCAAACAGGTGACCCATGTGCTGGTATGTCCAGCAGTGGAGCAAGTGCATGAAGGCAAGGAAGATGCTGATTCGTGCATACACATCATATGGCCACCATTCGTTCTGGATCTCTCGGTAGACTTCGAAGTGCTCCGGAGCGGTCCCCTGTGCAGCAAGGGGCATCATGCTCTCGAAGGGCTCACCTTGGTCAATGGCCACCTCCTTGCGGTACCAAGCGGGAACATCCGAACCGCGACGTGTTCGTTGCTGAGCATCTGCATCAATGTCCATGCCTTCGTTGTAGGTTTCATCGGGGTCCCTGCGGTACTGGTGCCGCAAGAAGGGAATTCGCAGCACTTCGCGCAACGGCTGCTCCTCCCAGGAACCCAAAAACTTTCGTGCACGGTCCAGCATCCAGTTGGCTGGGATGGGCAGCCTGACGAATCGAGTAAGCATGTGGGTAGTTGCCGCATTTGCACGTAGGCAAGCATGCATGGCCAGCCACATGGTGAGACCCAGCCAGATGTATGCACCGCCAACGTTCACCATCATGAGGCCCATGTACCAGCCGGGTGGTGGGGGTGTGTGCAATCCAACACGGCCAGGACAAAAGATGGCCGTAAGAATGGTGGCGGTCATGCCCGCAATGTCCGCATACACATGCATTCGGTTTGTTGTAAGCGTTGTGAGATCTACCAAGTCTTCTTTGTACTGATCTGTCTGCGCGCAGGCCATGTTGAAGCCGGCATTGAACCGAGACCAATGGAGCCTTGGCTCAAAAAAACTGGTCTAGAACCCCAAAGGGCGCAAAACAGGCCTTCATGCAGGACCACTGAGATGCGTGCTTCTGATCCATCATGTAGTTGGCACGGTTGTACCCAAACAGGCCAACCCCAACGCCTCCAGCCGTTGCTGCGCCGGCAGCCGCATATCCTGCTGCTCCGAGCTCCATGGCCTCAGATGAGTACAAAGGGGAAGTCCCGAGGCGGCACGCAAAAATCTGATGCCAAGTCGCTCAAGTTGGTTGCCAGGTGAGCCGCTGAGTAGCCGTCAAGGCAACAGGACTAACCCAGCAAATCCTTCCAGGACCGTCACACTGGTCCTTCAGTCTCGCTCGAGAGCAAAGACTGCGGAGTTTGTCATGGCTGCATCAAGGGCACCCAACAATGTCAAACCAAAAACAGTGACATGATGTCTGAACGTGGCAACCTGCTGGTCATTCACCAGGATTCTCTGCTGCACAGCCTCAAGGCACACTGGCCCCGGCTCTACTCGGCTGTGTTGTTCTGGCAACGTACGTACCTCTGTAAGCACCTGCTCAAAATCTGTGATAACCTGGCGCGGTAGCTACAGTAAAGTTGTCCAAAGCAGAATCTAGATGGTAGTTTCCCAAAATGAGGAGACCCCAATATAGACCCCAAAATATTATAGTCCTTATTATGGGGACCCTCAAAATGGTACCCCTAATTTTGGGAAATTCCCAGATAGCAGGCGCCCTTCAAGCCTGCTCTTCGTCAGGGGCTGGCATTCGCCACGGCTTCAGCCTGGATAGCTCTCAAGGTTCTAAAAGTTCACCTCCATGTGCGGCAAGCACCGTCCAAACCAAGCTCCCCAGCTTTAGCTTAAACTCTTCCACGATTCTGGACAGCAGCCCATCCTGAATTGCAAAGCATACTCATAATCCTCCGCTCAGTCTGCCAACCACAGCATCAATGAGGCTGCCACCAGATTGTGTCTGAGCTGCTGGGGATCAAGAACGCTGGATTCCGGTGCCAGCTTCTTGAGTGACTCCCTGGCATGCAACCCCCCTGACTTCGATAGCTACCTAGGGCATCTTTACACAGACTCCCAGCATTCTACTTCAGCGGGCCAAGGAAAAATTCATTTGTTCTGAAAGCTGTCAGCGCCCCGTAACACATCTGACAACTAACGCAAAGGAGCTAGGTGCTCGAATCTGTGGTAGTCAGTATTAAGGCATGTCCTTCTCAAATGAGAACCGTTCGAGTTGCTGAAAGAGTCTGATCCAACTGGATGATGACAGAAAGTCAAAACATACGACTTTCGGCCTGAAGCGTTTGTGCAAATCTTCTCTGACGGACACTGTCTCAACCTTCACGAAAGCCTGAGCCGTTAGGCGATACATGCTCTCGGCAATTGCAAGGATTCTGCGATCTCACCCCTACCCGCCCTACCCATCCACAAGTCACATCGCTTTGCTTAGCAGCCGCACTTGAATTAAGCTGTGACACGCTACCTGAAATCATCTCATAACATTCTCAGTGTTCATGTACTTGTTTCATGTTTCAAGTGCCGCTGCTTTCATGTGATCGCTCAGCAGGCAGCTTCCCGCAGTCCAATTGCCATGTCTTGCGCATTTTCTTTGAACGCCTGGCCAGGCATCACATGTGTCATAGCGCATATAGTGCCAGGGTCCACTGTAGCAGCTGCCTTGGCAAAGTTCATGACCTTAACACGGAAGTTCTGCAGCTGGAGAACCCACGGCCAGTCCACACATACAAGGCTGGAGCAACCTGCTGGAAACCTGTCGTGGTGATTTCGCAGCCCAAAGGAGCCTCAATCAGAACAGGAAGGTAGCTTTGAAGTGCCGATCAAGGCCTGGGACCCCAGCTGATGGCTGTGGAAACTTTCCACTTCCGAAAAAGTCTTCGCTAAACTTGTCCTGCCAAACAACGGCATCACATCAGGATAAAATGCCGAGACACACTGGCTTCCCGTCCAACAAATACAGGAAATCGCTATCGATGACCTCTATCTCTCCGGTGTAGGTGGGCCTGTTCCAAATGGCTTCTTGGTATGGGATCCTTATGATATATCATCCCCATATAAATATAACTCCAATATATTATGGTAGTTTCCCTTTTCTTTTCCATTACCCCTATATAATCCCCAATATATACCCTATAGTCCCTATATATAAAACCCCTATAATTCCTGTGGTTTCCATTTTCTTTTCCATTACCCCTATATAATCCCCAATATAACCTCTAAGATTTGGTTCAGGACTTTCAGGAGACCCAACAGGCTATCAGCATGCTCAGGGCAGGGCTTTGTCACCTTGAGGCCAGGGTGAGGCAGTCCCCAGGCAGCTATGCCTCTCCACAAAAACCCCAAAACGGGAGGTTATATTGGGGATTATATAAGGGTAATGGACAAGAAAATGGAAACTACTATCTTATAGTATATTATATGGGGATAATATAGGGGTTATATAGGGTTATATTGGGGATTATATAGGGGTAATGGAAAAGAAAATGGAAACTACTATAGTATATTGGGGTTATATGGGGCCTCTCAACAAAACCCCAAAACGGGAACAGCCTTTCGTGTCATCGTGTCATGACTCAGGGTCCGGCTTCGAAAAGTGGATTTCAGCCGCTCGACCTGGCAGCATCCAGAAGGCTCAGCACGTAAGTTCCTTTTGTATTTTGGGGTAATATTGGGATAATGGAAAATCAAATGGAAACTACATGGATTACAAGGAGTATATAATATGGGTTATATATGGATTATAGGGTGTATGTTGCGCAGAAAAAACTCAGCTGAGAGCCCGCGGCTTGGCATCCTACAGGACTTCGAAGAGCACCGCACGCAGGCAATGTCACAGGGCACTTGCTTCTCTGATGGCCTCTGGCACCTTCTCGGCACTGAGGTGATCATCTAAGTGCTCCCGCATTTGGTCCTGTATAGATAAAGGCCAATGACGTCGTGCCATTGCTCTAAAGTCAGAACCAAACCGCCTTGCACTCGCTGATGCTGAATCCATCCTGTCATCAGCTTTCACCAAAATGGGCAGAAAAAGGCATGGTTCTCCCCGGGTACCACCTCATAGTTCACCCAATCGCGCACTAGTAGCTCCAGGTGTCCAAACCTCGTGAGTAGCGTTTTTGTTGGTGGTTGAACCTAGTAAGATGATATTCCTTATATAAAATACTATACCCCAAAAGGAGGATAGAATCTTACTCTATATTGGTTACCATAGTATCCCCAGATTCAATACTACCCTAAACCCTAAACCCTAAACCCTACTGCTATACAATCCCAGCTTCCATTTCATTTTCCATTTTCTTTTTTTGATTCTCCATTAAAGGGGTAATATTACCCTATAAGGCTGCTTTAGTAGTCTGAGCTGGACTCCTCAAGCTGTCAGCCATCTGAGCCGCCCACGGCGCATCTTTGCCTGGAAGGTCACTGCAAACAGTCTGCCTCAGGAATACAGGGGTGCTCCAGGAGTAGTATTATCACTATAATTACCATTATTGCTGCTATTAGTATACTATAATTACCATTATTGTTGTTATTAATATAAAAGAACTATCCCTGCTCCCTGGTACCCCTGCGAAAGTCTAGCCCGCCCAAGCTGATCATCAGGCGCGGCGCGCGAAAGTAGTGATGTAATCCATGTTCTCTAACTGCGCGCAGTGCGGAACAGCATGCTTGGCACGGAACCCAAACCCTAAACCCTAAACTCTAAACCCTAAACCCTAAACCCTAAACCCTGGACCCTGTCAGAAAAGTGACTATGCCACCTTGTCTTCCTCCACGCGGTTCTGGATATTGTATATCCTGAGTGCAGCGATACAGCGGCCTTCCAGCCTTCCCTGCTCACGTGTATTATAGTTTACCATAAAGTTTCATAGGTTTAGGGGCTTCGGGTTTAGGGTACCATAAAATTTCATAGCATATGACAATATACTATAGCATTCTATAGCATCTTAGAGATTATAATATATCATGTGTCAAGCTCCATGCAAGTAACAAATTGGCTACTCATGTATTTATAAGGATAATGGACAAGAAAATGGAAACCACGATGGTGTAAACTGTACTATAGTGGTTTCCATGTTCCTTTCCATTAATCCCTATATAACCCTAGACCCTAAACCCTAAACCCTAAAGCCTGCAAGTGCTTTGAGGTGCCATCAAGGAGCAGCTTGGATGAAAGGAGGGCTGTCAAGCCGAAGATGGTGGCACTGCGCAGGCCGCGAGATTCCCAAACTTGCCATCTGAACCCTACCATAATAACATACCAGAATGTACCATAATCTATTCTAACAAAATATGTAGTATAATATAGTAGAATGTAATATAATATCGTATAATATACTATAATCTGCTATAATGTACTATAATATAATATAACCTACAATGAGATATATTCTAATCTACTATGATATACTAGAATATATACTGTTTTGTATACCCTATAATAGACTATACTATGCCATAATATAACCATAATATACACTACTACTCTCATATGCTGAAATATACCAGACTGAGGAGGCCTTTGTGCCTTGGTCATGGTATCATCCCAAGCGCCTGAGCTATGCAAAAAATATGTGGTAGTTCCCAGTCATTTAGGTATATATACCTCCAAGAATGGAGAGTTAGGGCTTCATGAGGATTTTATACGGAATTTAGGGATCATTACCCCAATAATGGAGAGTCAAATGGAAAAGAAAATGCAAAATGCAATGGAAAATATTATATAGGTATTGTATCGTGACATTCGGCGTTTCCCAAACTAGGGGGAACCCCAAGATAGACCCCCAAGTGAAATAATCCCTATTAAAGGGCCCCCAAAAAAGGTCTCCCTAATTTTGGGACAGCCTAAACCCTATATCCTCCTATACAACCCTGTCTATCCCCTATACCCCCCTTCAAAAGTCCCCCTTAATTTTGGGAAATTTGACATCACCGAGTAGTAAGTGGCCTCAGCTTGATATTCTATAGCAGATGGCCTTAAAATCATTCTTCACCTGCTTCGGAGCTCTAAGGGGGTTAGCTTAAGGCTCAATGTGTCTAGCGAAGCCCATAATTCGAGCCTCGCCTGCTATAACGACAGTTGTACTTTCCACATCCAAGGCCCTTCTAGAAATTTCAATAAGAAAAACAATCATAATTAAAGGACAGGAGAACCCCACATGTGTAGTTTAACCCGAATCTATGTGAAATGATATTAAGATACCGTCGCACGCCGATATAAGAAAACATGTATACAAGAATGACAAACCCTCGATACGACATTCCGCGATGGAACGATGAGCACATTGCGCGAGCGCGCGCGAAGTCGGGGCATCAGCTGGCACGGCCAGGCCTTGTGTGTCCATGAGGAGAACGGCAATCTTTCGGCCATCCTGGCAAAGCTAATATATTTCGGTATACCAAAATATATTACAACATAGTATATCACGTCATAATATATTATGGTATATTATGAAATATTTTGGTATATTGTATTCTGTCATTTCTGACATGCTACAATCTTCACACACACCCCGAGTCGTCTCAGCAAAGTCACGAAGCTATCCTGATCTCTGAAGACGAAAGGGTGGCTCCAAAGCCAAATGCCCTGCGTGCACCTCACCAGGTTCCAAAGGCAACATTGGGCCGTGTTGGGCCCCAGACGAGGACTCAAATAAAGCAATTCACAAACCTGAAATAAGGCTCTCTTGGAAAAATCACCCATGCAATAATAACAATGATAACAATAATAACAATAATAACAATAATAACAGTAATAACAATAATAATAGCAACAACAGGAGCCCATACCACGTTTGACTTCAGAGCAAACTGTAATGCGTGACAGGCACTTGTCTTTCCCAGGCCGCCAGGCGAACCCGGTGTTTACTTCGTCCAGTTTCGACCCCTAGCATGTCAGAACATGAGATGGCCAGGAACAATTGTTCAAGGATGGTCAAGGCCGACAGAGTATCAACCCAAGAGGCTCTCCGGCTAAACTGTAAACACACTGTGTCCCTTGTTAGCATGCCTCAAAGGTCTGTGCCTTCATTGTAAAGAGCATTCAGCATGCAAAGGAAATGCTCCAGTGAACGTCTGCCTCGTGGATGCGGGAAGGATCACCTTCTAGTACCTGACACAGGACAAGTGCTGGAAGACTGCGAGTCTCAGCAGATCAAACCGTTTCGAGTTGGTGATCCTTGCCAAAGCTCTGCTACTCTTGGGAGGTGGCACCCACTCCGGTGGCTTGTTTTTCTTCCGATCTTCCTAGCAGAAAAAGCGCTTAAACTTGTTGATCACCTGCCATAAGAGCAAGTCCTCTCCGAAACGCCAACTATCATCGGCTTGTGCAACCACCGGCTCGCCTTAGCTGACATATCCGTGCACATTAGACTGATGAGACCCTTGAGCGCGATTGGAAGTTTGATCCCGCGCTGAACCAGAGCTATTGCAATTAAGTCTTTTTCCTGCCTGGCCTGAAACAAGTCCATAGCGAAACTCCAACAAAGGGACTTTAGCCCCAGCGTGGCCTTGAGCGTCCAGGCATCTCGGATCTCTTCACAAAGCACCTTCAGGAAGTGCTCCGGGGCTGTCCAGAGCCAAACAGTCCAGGAACAGATCCGAGACGAAAAACTTAGTAACTCCTTGAATGCCAAAGCCGTCACACCTCAGCAGGTATAGCGGTCTAGCTCAGGCTTCTTATTGCTGGGAACAAGACACGAGGCATTATGATCGGGGGCCCAGTTCTTCTGCAAAAGCCAGGTGTGATGAAGAAGCGGCGTCTCTTCAAAGGATTGAAAGGGCCGTCCACCCTTCCCTGCGACAAGCGATGCAGCGATGCACTAGAAACTGCATGCAATGGAGTTTGAGCCGACGCGGGCAAATTCCCGCCGTCGGCGGGCCCTTCAAAATCCAATCCCGCAAATCCGTTCAACGTGTGAAAGCCTAATGACTTTCAGTATTCCCATACAAAAACTGTGTCTGGACTTGCGGAATCCAAAGATGGTGCCCAGGCAAGAGTTGCACGGTGTTGAGAACATTCCAGAAGAGAATCGTTCTGGAAGGTTGACAACTCCGTAGCTATCACAAACTTGGACATTCAAACAGCTGCCAGGGGAGGATCCTGGAACAAGCAAGCAAGCAATGGCCAGCAAGAAAGACACATGCGTTCAACCGCCCCTACCCGAATGAAATACAATGACATAGACCCTCTGTCCAGCTGCATCATGTAGTCGTCATCTGCCGCCCGTCTGCGCAAGAGCGTTCTTCTCCGCAGCCTGAAATGGCCGGAAAAAAGGACTTGCACCATCTTGCTCGCAAGGCACGTAGGCTTCGAGCAGGGCGCACGCCCCACCAAGAACAACGAGGCTCAAAAGAAGCGGAGTGGCTGCCTTGGTAACATAACTTTCTGAAATTATTGCCCTTCCCAATGCCCTCTTCTGAGGAATCCACCAAGATGTCGGAGTCAGCCTCGAGGCGCTTGCCCAGAAGAGGCACAGACGTTTTGTAGTGCGAGGTCCCCACCTTTTGCGCTAAGACAGCGGGCTGAGCCTGGTGTGCCTGCGGAGGGCACACATAAGAAGCGAATGCTAAGGAAGGGAATTGCAATATCGGGCCTGGCTTTGCTGACTTTGCTCTTGCTGTTGTTCAGCCTTCACTTCAAGGAATCACACCGCGCTCTTCTGATGCTCACCATGCTCGACCGGCCTGCAGCTCAGCACGAAGGTGTTCCTGGCAAGCAGTTCGATCACAAGCCCTGGCCTATACAAAGCTGTAGCGACAAGAGGGGACCTTCTCTTTCTGCCGCTGCGCATGCTCCATCTTTAGCTCAGTCGCCAGCCGGTCCTCATCCGCAACTTGCATCTTTCTGCTTCAGCGGAGAGAGCGCTCAAAAGCATGCCTTCTCGGCCTGCAGCTCCGCACGAAGGCTCTCCTGCTCCTTCAAACAACTCGTCTGAGAAACTTGATTGAGATTCAAGGTGCTAGCATCTGATGCTTGACCTCTCATTGCAGTACACCCGGAGGTTATTGTGAAACAAGCTCACATTCCACCTCATGTTTTTTTAAGCGCTCCACTAACTATCCGACTATCCATCAAGTCTCCGAGCTACACCCGTATCGGGAGGTTGCTGGAGCCTAGAAAATCACGAAAGCCACTCGCAGCCAGTCACTTCGGACGGGGCTTGTGCCAACGAACTGCCTCCGTTGTATTGCTCAAACTCGCGTGGTCTCCCCGCAAGACTGTTTTCTTGACAGAAAGTGCAATATCTATTTATGAAAATGGAGCTCGTATTGCGGGTTGGCCGACCCAACTACGAGTACCGACCATCACCACAGTAGGCCAACATTAACACGGCTGTGGTCTACGATTGCTCCGCAATTCGAGGCCACAGGAAGATAGGTGAAATTGGATCACGGGATCACAGACCACTGATTCTCAGGTAGCCTGGGAGCCATATCCGCTAGGCCTGCTACAGGAGGATGCCACGGCAGGATGACAGGGAGGCAGCCCAAGCCCATGTGCAAACCCCAAGCCTTCGCAGCTCCACGATGCCTTCAGTGTTCAAATCCTGGATGGGGCCAGCCCGGAGTTCACATACTTAACTCAAGACTGCTAGGTGCCGCTATGCTCTGAGTGCCAGACATTGTTTTTGATCTTTAACCGCTGGACTGTGTCGAGGAGTTGCTTGCCTCCTCTCCATTCCTTGCCAGCCTGTCGCAGCGACCGCTAACATCACTTGGTTACTGTGGCGGATTCAAGCACAGAGCTCCGATAGGCAGCAACCAGGAATTGTGCCTTCTTGATGGCCTGGACAATTGGCGAAACATTCAGCTGGTACTGGTAGTCGCCACCTTGCCAAATTTCGACGCATGCTCAAAGAGAGCAGTAGGTAATCAGTTTTGCATGCGCACGTCGCGTCAACAGTCTGAACCAAGGCAGCTGCTTTTTGCCAGGATCAAGGTTCTTCTGGCAGTCCTGGAATTTACCACTTGTGGAAAAAGCATCAACCAATTGAAAATTACATGTACACAGGTGAGTGCAGCTTTGCCTGTACACCAGATCTATCGCGCTCAAAGCAGCAGCCATATTCTCGCCTGACCTCAGGAAAGTGCCACCACTCTGCAAACCTCCCGGCCGGGAAGCCGCACTGAAGGAGCCCCTGCATGCTAAGCACAGTGCGCATCCGCCATGTCTTCGCCCAGCCCCATCCTGACAACAGCAGCTGACGTCAGCATTGCAAGAAGTTTCAACTGCAAGCAGGAGTGGGTCCTGAGCATGTCAGGACCATAGTACAGCCTCAGTCATACACGCCGCATGAAAAGCAGATTACCAACTCGTCATCACAAGTCGGGCACATGATTTGTGGACCAACAGGACTTCCCGCCAGCTCCTGATGACAACTGTTGTGCCCCGTCTTGCAGGTCAAAATGCCGTGCCTGCACCAAAGGGTGGTACTCATCCAGCAACAACTCCGAAACCTGCATGTCAAATGGCAAACAACTGGTCCTGCATTCGAGGAAATGGTAGCCAAATCTTCCGGCCAAAGCCAAGAGCCTAAACCCTAAAGTAACTTCCATTTACGAGACGTTCTCCCCCAAAAAAACAAACCCTAAACCCCTAAAACCCTAAGCCCCAAATGAGCTATTGCCTAAACTCCTCATATCCCCTTAATAACCCCTATATCAGTTCCCTCTATAATTCCCTATATACCCCCTTTAAGGAGTTTAGACTGTAGCTCACATCTTTAGGAGCCTTCTCGGGGTTCTTGTAAGTGTTTCTGGTCAGCGCCAACACGCGCAGGACCGCCAGGCCAGTCTCGTGGCAAAACACCTGCACAAAAGGTCTGGGCGTTACAATTGTACAAGGTTTTGGCTGCTGCTATTATGTAAATGATATGCATATATATATATAAGGGTTAGCATGGAATAAGGGAGTATATTGTATGGGGACTATAGGGATTCCACTCCCTTAACAACCAGGAAGACAAATGTTCTGGAGTGTTGAATATGTTCTGAAGCGGATCATGTCTACACACCCTAAGAAGGCACCTCCCAACTTCAATTAAGAACATGCGAGCGAAGAGCTTTTATCCTTCATGCTTTGGCATCTGCAACCATTGTGATGCAACGAACATTGCAAACCTACAAACAGCTGTGAGGCACCTTGCTTTCGCACATGGTGGCAAATTTCACCTGGTCAAGACTCTCAGGGTTCAGCAATCCGTCTGCAGCACGAATTTCTTATGACACGGTCCCTGCCTCAAAGTCGGGATACGCCTTCTTAAAATTGGTGTACAAGAAATTGAAATACAAGGTCCTGGGCTGTGCACTCTTGCTGTGGCACTGATCATGGATACTTCAACTCATGAACGAGGCAGACCATTCGCAGCAAGTGGGGTTTCCCAACATTAAGGGCGTGGGGGTGCCGATAATAAGAACTATAGTATTTGGGTTTATATTGGGCTCCCCTGCTTGGGAGAAACTACCATGCTATCCCCATACTACCTACATAACACTAGTTTCCATGTTCCATTTTTTCCATGGGATTCTCCATTATTATTGGGGGTCGCCCTGTTTAAGGAAACTTTTGGGGGACCCCACTAATAAGCACTATAGTATTTGGGGTCTATGTTGGAGTCCCGCTAAACCCTAAACCCTAAACTGCCAAGTGTCCGATCGTCAATTTTGGGATTATCCACAAGCTTGGCGATCAGATCGTCCATGGCCTAGGGCTCTGCGCTCTGCGCTCCCTCTATGAGCTATAGTCTTAACTCCTCATATCCCCCTTAATAACCCGCATATTATAAGGTTTAGGATTTTTGGGTCTAAATTCCTAGCATCCCCATTAGTAACCCCGTATGGTAGTCCCCTTTATAATCCCTTATGTAAACCCCTTTGAGCAGTTTAGACTATAGCTCATTTCATCCTACCTGAACCACTTGGCTAGCTGAGGCAGAAGCGGCTGTGAAGCCCATGTACACAGGCTGTATCGCGATTGGGAAGATGAACTTCTCGTTGCAGGCCGCCCCTGGCTGCACACAACAGTAGCGTTTTTGTTGAGCTGATGCACTTGGGACGGTGTGGAGAGGCCTGCAATATCAAAAATGGAATGGTAGAAATAGTAGTGGAGGGTGCCTGCCAGCTCCCAGGAGATGTTCTGTGCGCACTGCACGTAAGGGACATGACTGCGGAGGACATGAGTTCTTTGAGAAACTTGCCGTTCATCAAGTGCTTCCGGTCCAAGTCCAGCAGACCCTTGAAGTTGATGCACGCTATCTCTCCTCAGACGCAAGGAAGCACTCATCCACTTTGCTGCCAGAGGCATTTTTGTTTGCCTTCTAGTAAGGATGTCCTTGACCCAACTGCGGCAGCTGAAAATTTGTGGCAAAACCTGTCAGCAATCGAAGCTAGCACCTTCAAGAGTAGCCGTGACATCCTCAGCCCTCTGTCAGTTCTGTCAATACCCATTACCATTAACCATTACCATTACCATTACTATTATTACTGCTATTATTACTGCTATGATTACCAGTATTCTTATTAATATTATTATTGGTATTCAATTATTATTTCAGTTATTTTTACTGGTATTATGACTAGTATATCTAAAAACAATCGGCCTGCCAAGATGGACTCCTGCCGCGAGGGGGTAAGTTTGGCCACCTCAGGCTACAGGCCCTCAGTCAACAGCACGTGCAGCTCTCTTCAGGAACTTCAATTAAGTTGCCATAATGGGTAAATATGGTAATTAATAGGGTTTCCCCAATACAGTAACTTCTTAGCAGCAACCAAGTCCTCTGTATCAGGAAGGTGGCCAGATGCAGATTGGCTTCCCTTAAGGGCTTGGTGATATTTAGCGCGGTGTGGATCATGCGGCTTGCTCCCCGGCGCATACCTCATACAAATAAATCGTGGTGGCTACCGTACTTCCTCAATGTGGCTGGCAAGCCAAAGGAGATCCTGCAGACAGCCCTTAGCCCCCTCATTCCCAAACCCACCAAGCAAATCAAACTGTATTGTCTCTCCATTATAAGGATCATGGTATTCTGAGGTCTATGTTGGGGTCCCCCTATCTAGGGAAACTACCATGTTGGCGACGTACATGCAGCTAAGAAACTGTTGGCAGCAGCTTCCTGGCACGATCCCTTCTTCAACGCAAAGCTCCATCCAGCAATAAGAGCCTTAAAGGATCCCCATTATAGTCCCTATTTGAACAACCCCTATGTCATCCCTATATAGCCCTATGATATCGCTATATATCCTCCTATAAAACCCTATATGAGGCAGAGATTTGCGCTCCTCTTCAGCTCCGGGTCCGCCAGAGCACACGCAAGACACCGATCGTGGTCATCTGAGCCTCATCTGCGGTTTAGGGTCTAGGATTTAGGGTTTAGGGTTTAGAATTTAGGGTTTAGGATTTAGGGGTTAGGGTTTAGGATTTAGGATCTAGGGTTTAGGGTTTAGGTTGTTTTCTCTCTCGGACCTTTTTTTGCAAGGCATGAATCCCAAGAGATGCTCCTACAAGCACGGCCCACAGGTGAGCAATACAGTACTCTTTAAAGGGGGTTTAGAGTTTAGGGTTTAAGGGTTTAGGGGTTTAGGGTTTAAGGGTTTAGGGGTTTAGGGGTTTAGGGGTTTAGGGTTTAGTAGGGTTTGGGGCATATGCTAATCTTACTGGGGGTTAGCAAGAAGGAACATCATAGGGACATATGTGGCTTACATTTCCTTGTTCACTAATTACCACAAGTAAGTAATGGGAGCCAGCTGTTGCATACGGGGCTAGATATTTACCATATCCTGGCATCATAACATCTGAGTTCTGAACGCATGTCGAACGGCAGGGAATCATTGACCACCTGCCCAGAAACACCAAAGCGCTCATCGGACTTTACACAACCCAGTTTCCATGTAATTTTCTTTTCCATTTGATTTTCCATTACTGGGAGAAATTCTAAATAATCCCGATATAACCCCATATAAAATCCCTTCAAGTTGAACTTGCCTTCCTGAAGCCATCATTTTTGCCGACGTCGTGCACCACAAGGAAGACCTGAATCCACAGCACTACCCAATGGTCTGTCAGACGTTCACGCTGTCCTTCAGAAGGACTTCCACCAAAAAACAGATTCCGGGCTTCCCACCAGCATGCCCCACCAGTCGTCTTCGCAGGTCATATGAGCTGCAAACTTCTGGCAGAACTGTTTGTAGTCGTCTTTCTTGTTGCCCATGTTGATGAACTTTCCTGGCACCTTTGAGATGCGGAAGACACGGCAGCAAACGCAAATAACCGGCATCCTTCCTATACCCCCTTTGGAGTCCTTGTCCATGCTCATCGGACCCCGTTCACCGGCAGAAACACACTCCAGGCCAAAATCTTCCTGGCATGCAGGGTTTCTCAGAAGTTCGTGTTTTGGAGTGTACGAATGGAGGATCGAGGGGTTGAGGGCTCAGGATTTCAGAGTCCACAGTGAAGAGTCTTGTTTTGGGACATTGTTGGCGGTGTGCAGCCTCCGAGCATAGGGAATGCAACAACTGTTCTCTGCCAGCTGCAGTGGTTGTCACTCGCTTCATGTCATGCGCCAGTGTCCTCCATGAAGGAGGAATAGCAGGACAAGAGCGCAATGATGGCCCCAACGGTCCCTCAAGATGCAGAAATTTCAGCCGGCCTGATAACTTGCCCATGGCTTGTGTGACCCTGCCAGCGTGCATCTAAGGGACGATAATACTCCGTTGGGCTCCCAGAAATTTCCTGCCATTGCGGGAGGAAAGAGCACTCCACGATCTGAGGCATGGGTTTTCCATTGCTCCTCCACACCAGGACTTGTCTGAATTCGGCCCTGCTTGTAGATGCCCAGCTCAGGGAAGGTCTCGTCAAGCTCTCTGAGGAAGTCCTGGCTGAGCACAGTAAACCTCTGTGAGGCATTCCACGACTGGCGCTTGTGCCGTTTCCAAGCTGGCCTTGTTCTGGACTGCATCTGGAGCTTTGGCAACGCCGCCACCGGCTTTCAGAAGATCCACCAAAGGCTTGATCTGAGCAGTTTGACTAGCAGCACTCCATGTAAGCCCCAACACCCCAAGTTGCAGCTTTCCCCTTACACCCCATCACTGCGGCCACGCCTTCCTTCCCACCTCTTCAACGGGGACATCCTTGCAGCCTCAGGTGCATCAGTCCAGGTTGAGGAGTGACGTAGGTTGACTAAAGCAAGCTGATGTTAAAACTCTGGGTCCCGATAGACGGAATACTCTATTGCAAAGATCTGACAAATAGGGACTGAATCCTTGCATCAGCACTTAAGCTCTCAGGGAGTTGCTGCAGCCTTGGTTCCCCATCACCGGGGTGATAACAGGGAGGGCCTGGCTCAAAATCTTGCGCGCACAAGGTCAGCTTAGACTTGGCAACGTTGGCATCCGGGCCTGCTGCGAGGAGGCTGCACCTGCGCCACTATGCAGATCAAGTTTCACCACACTTCACTGTACTGAAGCTGGAACTGTGAGCTCCAGCCGACCCTTTCAATGAGATGACTCCTCAGTGTGCGGCCTGTGCGGCAGTCCCTGCAGGTTGCCGGACGGCAAGGGGGAAGCGACATCCATGTTTCTTAAATGGCTGCGGCACGCGAAGGTCCAAAAGGATGTACCATCACTGACTGCTCGTTGCCAATATGTGAAGTTGGCTGGACAACTCTCAGCAATTGCACACGTGAGCTGGACTCCTTCTGCAGCTTGTTGCTCTCAACCTGCTGCTCAGTCCTCAGAGCACCAGAAAGCTATTTCCTCGACCTGGCCAGTTCAAGAAAGGTACTGGCCTGCTACACCTGGTTATAACCCTAAATAGCTTATGTAAGCTCAAAAAAGTCCCATGTAGCTCTTATACAACCCTGTATAACCCTATATAATCCCTGCCCTATATACACTTGATCCTTTGCTGTGGTCGGTACTGAGCGTTGGATGCGCCCGAGGCAGCAAGGAAGGTTGGCCTGGGAGACACACAGGGAGCCTGCAACATGCCCATAGTGAGAGCAAACATCTTAGGCTTGCGCGGGCTGGATGCAGATGCAGAGGGCTTATCCTGGAAAGCATCTGCTATACAATCCCACTATATACCCTATGATAATGTAGTAGTTTCCATTTTCTTTTGCATTATCCCTATATAACCCCTATATAACCCAAATATTTACCCAATATGTGTGGTTTTGCTTTAGGCCCTGGCAGCGCCTCACCTTAAAGGAGCAGGCTTGCCGGCCTGCATGTACTTCTGGTAGTTGCCAGCATATTGGGCGATGTACTTCCTCAGAAGATGCCAAGAAACTTCACTGACACTTAGAGAAACTTCGAGCAAACCTGCCACAACTCCGAAGAGCATGTGCCAAATCAGCAGAAGGATGCAGAGTTTGGATAGACATGCTAGCAGACATCATCCAGAACAGCAATGCAAGGCCTAAAAACCTTGCTGGTGTCTCGCGTGAGCTTACTACCATTACTATTTTTACTATTGGTAGTAGTATTACTATTGTTACCATTTTTTAATTATTACGATTATTACTATTGTTACTATTACTACTTTTATTGCCTTTAGTACTGGTAGTACTATTATTACTTTCATCATTACTATTGTTACTATACTTACTATGCTTGCTATTCATACGATAACTAATTTTTTTACTAGTACTACTTGCAGATTCAAGGGTCTGGTAGTTGCCAGACTTGCTCTGTTGACTGCTTGCGGCAGACTCTCCGCGCTCTTGCCTGCCCAAGCTTGAACAGGGATTATATCAGCTATACTCTACTACACTCCTAGTATCCCCTTAATGAATTATAGGATTTAGAGTTTAGCCCCTTAATAAGCCCTACGATAGTCCCCTATAAAATCCCCTATATAACCCCGCTGTAAGGAGTTTAGACTATACTCACATAGGCTAGGGATGATACAGCGGTTCTATAGAAGGTATATTGCGTTGTAGAAACTGAAAATTAAACTGAAAAGAAGATTGAAAATGAGATGCAGACCAGGAATGTATAGGATCGGAACGGAAAAGAAAAAAATATTGTTTTTTGCGGGGCATATAGTGAATACCGTAAGTTCTGCCTTCATTGCTACTATGTGCATTCCTACAGCATGGTTGCTTTATGAGGCGTTACTCCTCCTATCCACTGAACATCCATTTTGCTATGGCATGCATCATTTGTGCAAGGTTGACTCTAAATGTGAGTGTCAATGTCGTGATGCTTTTAAGGATTCAAGTTCTGATAACTATACATGATGATTTGTCATGCTTCGTGCTTTTGTGACCACTGCAACCTTGTCTACAACCTCTCTTGCAGTGTTTACATTATCAGTATTCGAGTGACTGCTCTTGACTTGTGAATACATTATCAGGTGTCACCAACTCTTCAGAAAGCAGTGTCCTGCCAGAAAGGCCTTCAACAGATTTGATTCAGACCCCGCTATGCCCCTCTCCGTGTCAGACAGCCTCACTGACGCCAAGTCTGGCAACTTGTTCATGATCCCACTTTGATGCTTGGTCAAGGCTCTAGAAATACAGGGAGTTAGATACCAACCAATCCCAATCCGAAATCCGATCCCAATCCCAAAAAAAAAAAAGAATTGCCCCGGAGGTTCGTGCCAAGCTACAGATACTTGGCATAGTCATCCGCATAACCCTGCATGTAGTGCTTGAAATCAGCTGATGCATGCTTTCCCTTGTTCTGCTCAAACTTTTGGTACTCACTGAAGTACTTGCCAAAGTCTCCAGCAGCTTCGCTTCCTCGGGCATCCATGTACTTGTGGAAGGAATCCGAATAATTTCCCATAAAATTCTGGAAGCCCTGTGGCACAGCCTTGCCTTGACTCTCCAGGTAGTGCTGGTAGTCTGCTGCGTATTTTCCCATGTACCCTTTGAAGTCCGATGGCTTCTGTGAAGATTCAGCTACGAACAAGGATGGCGCTGCAGCCCCTTTAGTCGCATTCCCACTGCTTTTCTGGAAAGATCCATATCCATACTGACTCTGATGATCACCATTGCTCTGGCTATGGCCATAGCCTTGCGAAGTCTGGCCTTGGCCTTGCATAAACTTCTGGTAGTCAGCCGCATACTTCGACATGTACTGAGAGAAATCCCCGCTGTTGGAGGTCCCCTGCATGTACTTGTGAAAGTCCATGTACTTCTTGTAGCCATCAGCATCACCAGAGCCCTGCGCCATGTTTGACATGCCTGAGGCATACTTGTCCATGTACTGTGAGAAATCTCCTCCCTGCCCGTTCATGTACGACTTGAAGTCCATGTACTTCTGGTAATTGCTTCCACCACCTGGAGATTATGCTTCTGCACTACCTTCCACATCACAACCAGGATAAGTAAGACTGCTGATAGTGCATGTTGTTTTGTCCAAAAGAAGCAGTTGAAGCTTAGAAGAATTGGCCGTCTTGCTCCAAGAAAAACCATCCAACAACCATCACCCAAAATCGTCAAACCCCATTGAGAACTTGCGGCCTTGAGAAGCTTGTCCCTGAAGGTACTTCTGGTAGTCACCTGCATACTGCTGCATGTATTTCGAGAAGTCGCCTGCAGATGAACCGCCTTGCTTCAAGTACTGCTGGTAGTTTGCGTAATCGCTCATGAACTTGGAGTAATCTCCACTGGAAGAGCCTTGTGGCTACAGCGGCTACAGTAAGGTTGCAATGTTGCATGTTCAGAGACAGGAGGTTCCAAACACCACATGTATTGATGTCTGAATCCTCAATTCCCTTATGGTGACTGTCAAGCTGCTTCCAGCAAAACACTTGGTTTGCAATCTTGGCTTAATCTGGTACGGAAGGACCTTGCTAGACTACATTATTAAACTGGGATTTATGTTATAATTGAGCGTCTTCAGTGAAGCACATTTCAGTCAAACCCTGTTTATTATAGAGTGTAGATAGAGATTACGTTATAAAGGGAAATCTGCGTAATGGAAAAGAACATGGAAGAGGTTGATGATCATGGTTTTGGAAGTTCTACTAGATCGCGCAGGATTTGAACTTCGTGGAGCACCCACTGTCTTTCTGTGCACAATAACAGTGTTCCATGGGCACCCGCACATGCTTGAAACACCCAAAACCATCATACTGTAAATAGCCCAGTCTTAGCAGGTTCTACGGTTTATGCAGAGAAATTAGTCAGGTGGACCCGCGACTCTGTAATAGTGGCATAATAGAAGTATAAGAGGACCCCAATCACTATTGTCCCTTATAGCCACTACCGCTGGGTGGGGAGTCCACATGAAAAATTGGTGTGGATATCGGCTATCGAATTGGGAGCTGGTCATCCTGCTGGAACCTTATTCAACGTCGCCCAGGGTTGTCGTTTGGGGTTTGGGATTCGGGGTTTTGGCTAACCTTATAGTACTTCAACTAATCCGCTCATCCTACTGTTGAAACACCCCAACCCCCTGAGATCAAACATTCACATTGTGGTGCATTGCAACGTACAACAAAACAAAGGCAATACTAAAATATTCTGGGGTCGGGGTTTTCAACTTTAGGGGGGAGAGGGGTGCCAACACCCTAGGTCAAAACGACCCTGTGGACCGAAGCTGCCGAATCCACTCATCAACTTTGATAAAACCAGGGAATATTCAAAACAGGCACCTTGTCCCATGTACTTCGAATAGTCCCCAGCATACTGATTCATGAACTTGGAGTAGTCACCACCCTGGCCATGTAGGTATTTTTGGTAGTCCATGTACTGCTGAAAGTCGCTTCCGCCTCCAGAAGCTTGTTGTGTGTAGTCACCTGCGTACTTGTTCATGTACTGCGAGAAATCCCCTCCAGACGCACCATGTCCTGCTGCGTACTGGTCCATGTACTTCGTGAAAGAGCCTCCGACAGGGAAAACAAGACCACTAAAAGCCCTGATACGGCAGTCATTTCACCGGAGTGGTTGTCAAATCTGAAACCCAGGAGCCTAGTTTCTGAAGCCTTTCGAAAGTTGAGATGATTCAGTGGTGATCGATTTCTGCAAGGACATCAAGGGCAGGCAGGCACACTTCCTCGGTCATGCGTTTAAAAAAACAAGCAAAACAATGAACTCAATTTGTTGGCAATGCGGGAAACACGACTGTGGTATCCATACTGGAGGACATGATCCCTGACCCTGTAACGTGTCTAGGCGTCCGACATGATCACCATAATCGTTGTCAAACAACACGATAAAGCTATGTGCCATGACCATGACAAGCTATGATGTCAGAGTGCTAAAATTAAGCCCTTGCGCTAAGGAACACATTGATATGCTAAGGCAGACAGCGAGGAGGTTGCTAACCGGCACACAGTGTAGGATCAGCAGCATGTATCAGGGCTAGCCTTTATACGCTAGCTGTGTCGCAAACTGCAGTAACAACAACCAGCAGCAACAATTTCAGCCACATGACCACGAACACTACCCGTCACTGCCAATCACACCCCCACCAAAACCAAGAAACAACAACACAAGCAATACACCACATCAACTAGCACTTTGGCTGTGAAGCCCTGCCGAAAAGCCAAATCGCTCACTGGCCGCTAGCTCCCAGTAGCATCAGAGATCATTAGAGACCATTCTGATGTTTGCAATGAAAACGTGTCATGCCTACACCCATGTGGTGGGTGCTCATGAAGGCAAAACTACCCTTAATTACTGATTGTAAGTGGCCCAGCCTTGGGATCCTTGTCCCTGCGAGTACTGAGAGCCATGGGACTGAGCATATTTCTGGTAGTCAGCTGCATACTGGTCCATGAACTTTCCGAAGCCTCCAGGTCCTGCACCCTGAGTGCCCTGTGCGTGCTGGTTCATGTACTGAGCATAATCGCTACCATGAGCTCCCTGCACATATTTCTGAAAGTCTGCAAAGGATGCTTTGCTGCCATCTGCATCCTGCGCTGTGGGAGTGGCTGCGAAGCTCACTCCACTAGGCCCGCTTGGAGGCTTGTCTGCAGACTTGTCAGACATATACTTGCCAGCATACTGGCTCATGAACTGCTCGTATCCATTCCCGCCGGCTTGTCCTCCGTTCATGTACTTGGTGTAATCACCGTACTGGTCCATGTACCTCTGGCAACTACCCTCATGAACGAGCTCAAGCTACTCCAGGATCATCTAAACGCCCTCAGCTCAAGATAATCCTACTCTTTGCAACAAGATGCTTCTGGTAGTACTTTTGGTAGCCAGCGCCACCTGCAGATCCACCCCCTCCAACGTACTTTTCGTAGTCGCCCGCATACTGATCAACATATCTCTGATAATCACCGCCGGCCTGTAGCACTGTCACAGCCGGTCTAAAAAAAATACTGACCAAAAACTCAGCCACGTTGCGTTTCGACTAGAGACTGCGCACGACTGCGGCTTATCTTGCAGGTGTGCTGACACGTGCTGACAATCACACGATGGGTACTGGTGCCATAGATTTAAGTGCCCTCTGTTGCTGTTGCGGTGCGTCTACCGTCACTTCATGCATCACAGGTCCCCAATTGCCATTGCTCGGCAGCAAAACACGGCCTGTTGCTGAGCTAGTGCGGCTGGAAGAAGCGAGATCACAGCAAGCACTGCCATGACCTCGCGCGAACAAGCTCATATGAGCTGTAGTCTAAACTCCTTGAAGGGGGTTATTTTGGGGAACATATAGGGGACTATTATAGTGTTTATTAAGGGGGATGCTGGGAGTTTAGACGATAGCTCATAACATGCCAAAGACCCGCAGTCACTGAAAATTCCTTTGCATCAAGCAAGCCGCCTCACTGCTACACGAAGCAGGGCCGGCAACGTGCAGTCACACCGTGCAGTGTGAACAGTGACTGCCGAACCAGTCACTACGAGCCAAAACGGGTGTGGCATCATGACAAGGAAAGTAAGGTACAAGTTGACATCTGTACATCATTGCCCGCCTGCCAGTCCGAAGAAGAACACAGTTCCAACAACCCTGCCGGGACTTTCTACTCCTTAGGCCACTACGCTGAGCAGGGATGGTTGGTGCCTCAGATCACTAGTGGAGGCAAATCAAACAACCAAAATGTACTGCACACCATTCTGCACCTAAGGCACTGGCTTGAGAAGGGTCTTGAGTCAAAGCGTCAAGTCTCGCCTTCTCCAATGCCCTTTCCTGCTAGGATTTGCTGGGTAGGTTGATGCAAACAAGCCATATGCGCATCTTGAGCCGCATCAACGGCCAGTGAAATGGCCTTTGCAGCTTCTTTTGCTGCTTGCTTCTTCAAGTAGCGAGCCAGCAGGTCGAGAAGAAAACTTTTACCCGTTCGGTACCTCGAAACATGAGCATGACTCGCACACTGCGTCCCAAGTGCAGCCTGCTTGACACCCAACTCCGCTTGTGCATCTTGACATGTGCGGCCAAAGCACGTCCCCATGACAGCAACAATTGATACATAACTGGCTCCGGAGTCATGGAGCTTCGAACCTGGCAGGGACAAGCTGGAACCTGAGAACACCTGCAATTGAAGCTTGGCACCAAAACACTGTTTGCGTCTGAGGCACTGATTTTATCTAAGTTTTCTTTAAGAATCTCCACCTCAGACGAGTCCTGGGCTCAATTTGCGGCTGTCAGACTCAAGCAAATGCAGCAATGAAATACTAAGCTCGTCGCTGGCTTCAGCTCTAGAATCTTCAGTGGAGTGTTGTCTGCTCCTCCGGAAACACAACAAAAACTGTTCCAGCTGCACGTGACACTCATGGCTATACATGCCGTGCAAGAACGCAAGTGCTGTGCCCAACGTCAACTCTTCCACATCGAAACATCAGAAGCTCTCTGTTGAATGCCCTCAGGCTAAAAATGGTAGCTACAAAATGATGCTAACGTGATGCTCCAGCTGCTGCAAACCTGCATGTTGTCGTGCAGCTGTGCATTGAACGGACCAAATAACAAACAACATGCCAGAAAACCCAGCTGCATATCAAGATAAAATGGATAGAGCACGTGGGAAAGATGCCTGATACTGACTTCACAACACCACAAATTTCAACGACCGATCATGCCTGAGCACCGTATGTATCGAATGCAACGTAATTGCCTGTAATTGCAACGTGCAAGTTTGTGGGGCTTAACTTCCCGAAGATTGGCAAGCCGGTCGAGGTCTCACAAAGCGTCGGACAGCCAAGAATCAAACTCTCCAGGATTTCATGTGTCAACCCACGGCATCCACATCCGATACTGCCACGAACATGCCATGAACTGCAAACAAAACAGCAAACAGCTTGGAACTCAATCTACAAGCAGGCCAGTATCTTTGCGAAAGTGAGTCCTGTCATGTCTGGAGCCACAAGTCCATCTGGGGACGGACCACTATTGTGAAGACACAACTAGCCAAGCTTGAACCTGACAACGGCACTTATTTTCACTGTCAACAACGAAACAAAACCATGGCTACATGGTGAAACGCCGTCATTGCAGCATGTGTATCTCATGCAATTCATACCCCACTCGTTTCTTGGAATTCCAGTATTTCCAACACTGCTAGGAACCGCGGTTTTGTCTAACATAAAAATGTCACCAAGCCGGGACCCTGCAAAGCATCGTGCCAACTTCCTCACGCCCATTTCCTAGGACCCTTTTGTGGGGGGCAGCGCAATGCGTTGCTAAGTTATGCATGCGAAGTTCGTTGGAAAACCACGTGTTTGGGTCAGCTTACACGTCTTTGGCCACGGGCAGCATGATTTGACCGGTCAGAAAAGGTCTACGACCGGAATCTAGGCACGAATGTGTTCTGGGCTTCATCTGATTCAACTGGCCTGACGTCACGAACATGCGTGTAAAACGGAAACAACCACATCGACATTCCGATTTACTTTGTGGGCCAGACCCTAGCACACACTGGCAACACAAACACTGTGTAACACATCAACTTGGAACTTGGCAACTTTATGTAATCTAAGTTGACCAGCTTTCATATCACGACTCCCAAGCTTTGACACGTTGCGTTCCACTTACTGCTTTCAGCTGTCAAAACATGTACATGGAAACATGCCAAGATCAAAACACCACAATTCGCCAACATGTAATAAGGTACGGACATCACATGCACCTGAGAGTTTAGCACTTCCGCCTCACAAAAGCATGCCACTGATTTTTGGGAATCGTTCCACGCAGGAGCTCTGCCAATTACGGCGTGAGGCTTTGACACAGGAGGCTGTTAGCAAGCGGCTTGCACGCCACAGAGTGAGCTCCACTGTTCCGTGATGGCCCTCAGCTTGCGCTCCGCCGTCTGCGTCGGTGCGGGATCAGTAGCCAGCTACCTTAGATTATTGGGCCTTGCTACCCTTTCATATCTCAGCAGGTAGAGCTTTCCTGAGGTCAGCTGCTATGCGCTCGGAGCACCCGGGCTAGCTTGGACGTGCTTGGGCCACTGGGAGAGCAGCACACACAAAAACCCGAACCCCAAAGACCTGTAAAGGCAGCACTCTTTGCAACCACAAATTGTGAATGAGGCAAGCCTAAGGGGTGCGGGCACTACAAGATGCAAAGCGATGAGACCCGCTACCCACTGTGGGCTGCAGGCACATGGCATGTCAGCTGCAGAGTGAAAAGCCAAAGCACAAAGAGCTGCAGGCACCACTGGTTCACGAGCAACTGCAGTCTCGGTGGCACAACTCACTCCCAGTGTCACTGCACACCCGTTGCAAGAGACCGGTCAATGCTTCTTTGATGGCAAAGGCCAAGCTTGCCCCGTAACGAAATGTAGGCTACACACATCCAGATCAAGTTCAAGCAGGACGCATGAAGCTTTGTTTTCAAAAGCCTTGACCCTGTGGACCTAACCTTACAACAGTGCCAGCGCTGTCCTGTACAGTGACGTGCCTCGCATTCCAAGCGCCTTGCTTGATCAACCACAATGCCAAAAACTACCACGCCCGTGGGTCTCGCAGGTTTCTTCTCCGGCTGCACAAGCTGGCTGCGAAAGCTGGCCATCCGAAGCGCTGAACCAGGTCCTCGTGCTTAACTTTTTTGGGGTGGATGTGGCCCTGGACGCACACCAAGTATGCGTGCGAGGACTGGATGACTCGCCCCTGGACAGCGTCACAAGCCTCGCAAGGTGTTGGCACTGTGCCGGCGTGCAGCAACCTGCACTGCGCCCATTTGGGTGGTTGTCAAAATCTTGACTTGGGAAAATCTAAGGTGCTGCCTCACGAGTCATCTTATGTCGGATTTTACTAGGGGACACAAGGCATCTTGATGTCTGAGAACATGACATCAGCAGGTATCGGCTACTGTGTCACACAGAAATCATCTGCGCAGTTGCACTTTTGATTGATGCATATTTCGGAGCAGCAACGGTGGTGGAATGGCGAGGCACGTGATGATAGGATAGAGGTCGACCGGAGCTTTCCAGAGGGCAAAAGAAAGTGGCGTCTTGCGCGCTTGCGGTGAGCCTGCTCCACCCGTACCGAAGAGCATCCGGTCCAACCCCGAGCTGAGAGACACTTGACTGCTGCGGGAAACTTGCATGAAAATTGCCATGGTGCCTTCAGGCACGCGCAGCGCTCACTCACACAGTGCCAATGAAGGTGCACAGCATGTGAAACGCTGGAGAAGCTGAGGTATTACTATGTTCGCCGCCGTGTGGCCCTAGCACAATGCTACACTCTCATTCAAGCCCAAGTTGCTGCTCCGAGATAGCATCGGCAGTGGCAATGCCGACCCTGATGGCAAGCCAATGGAACATTGCTTCAGCAGGGCCCACGAGCAACCTTCAAGTGCGCCTGACATTTTAACGCAAGGTTTGTTAGCAAACGCTTCAGGACCTTGACATTTGCTGAGTTGAGGCTCTCAAGTCTTCGCAGCTGGATTCCCTTGGACCACAGGCTGCCATGCATGAGATCCGCTGCCCTTCGCGTGGTCAATTTGAGTGAAGGTCTGGCGCGCCTGCAGTGCTTAACTAATCGCTTGGTGTTGGCTGCCAGCAAGCCAGGCCCGGCCAACCGAAGCTACTGATCCTGCCTGAGAGCACGCACCACGAAGATTGACACATGTCATTTCCAGGATTGGACTTCAACGATATGTCTGATTCTCAATTTCTGCCCCGAAAGTTCAGGATTGAAAATGAAAAAGACAGGTCGCAGGGATACACAGTCCGTGTTTGTTTAGTATGTACACCTCAACGATGAGGGACCACCTCTGTCTTGCGATCCCCACCTTGTGCTCGCTGAGCGTGCCCTGGCAGATCCCGTTCTTAGATGGGTTGCAGCAAAAGGCTGCAGGCATGTTCAGCAAAAAACCTTGCTGTTGCAGTCGGGCCAGGTCTTCTGCATGACTGCATGCCTCTGGCAATGCCACAGGAATGTGGGCACGTCAGCCGAGATGCTAGAAGGACTTATGAATGAGGCAGATCAAGGTACCCCAACCTTGATGATGAGTTACCTACAAAGCCCTTTTGGAGCCAGAAGAGCTATACCACAAAAACCTAACCTTTTCCTCACTAGGCATTTCACACACAGTCCCACGCAGGCGCTGCAGGGACATTTAGGCGACTGTTGTTGCATGGACGTCTGCCGAATCACACCCGAATGTGACACGTCAACTTGCAGAAGTCTACAGCCTTCACCAACCCAAAGAACCCACACAATGTTTTTGTTTGAAACGCGTAGTCCCATGTTTTTGCCCAGGCTTTTTATTCAAGATTTTGCGCATCTGCAGGGCCTGAAAACACGAGTTAAAAAGGCAGCCTGCAAAAAGGACTGCATATGAACGCCCAGAAGAAAAGCTGTTCCTACAAGTCTGCCTCTCTCTGGCATGGAGCGTCAAGGCTGAGAAAGCCGCTTTAGTTTGGGGTGGATAGTACACCTCAGGAACCCAAGCCCGTGGACCACACAAATCGGCATGCTGGGCGCTGAAGTATACCGCGTACAGCACTCGCCAAGGGCTTCTGATTGGTGAGAGCAGCTTGCTGCACTCGCATCATGAAGAGGATCTCGAAGCTGCGTTGGAGGTCACTTTGTTTGCTTGCTCGAGTGGGCGCAAGGACACGCAGCAGACGGCCTGTTGACACCCCCTCAGAGGTCTTTGGCTGTGGCTAGTGCCCGCCGCGGTTGCACATGATGCCAAGCGCACACACTTAGTATGATTCGCCTTTGGACGCAAAAGCTGATCCTGCTGCGCTGCACAGCTAAATTCTGGCCAGTCCTAGGCCTCTTGAGCATCTGTTTCCTGTCTGTCTTGTTGGTTCCTAGGCGCTTTACCTAAGCACTCGGCCCATCACGAACTTCTTCCCAAGGAGTCGCATCCAAAAGACAACTGCCGTCTGCACCACATAAACTCAACTCCAATACGCGACATTGCTGTAGGAGCTGACACTGTCTGCGAGGGTTGGCTCTGCCCAGGCTGAAGTCTCTTCAGGGTTTGTTTTCTGCTTGCACGGCTGGTGCCTCGGTGCTTTAGATAAGCACTAAACCTTTAGACCCAGCACCGACCTTGTCCTGAGACGCTGCATCTGAAAAACAACCGCTTGCTGCATGAAGTCAACTACAGCAAAGCCTGTTTCCACCTCGCACAACACCATTTGCACCTGAATGATCAAAGTGAACTTGCCCAAAACTCATTCAGGGAATGAAGACAGGAAAGCATTATTCGATACTACGATATTAAGGGGGGCTCACCATCGCGGCGAGCATCCCGCTGCGCATGCTGATCACACCACTTGTTTTTACGATTGCAGCCTCTGCACAGCCCGGAATGATAAA